TATGAATGCTAGGAAGAGACGGGGACCGAGTACGGACCCTTGTGGAACACCGTGAGTGGCTGTGGTGATCCAGACTTACGTGATCGCATTGCAGGCATGACCAGGTACAACTTCGTGTCATCCAATCGCCGTTCAGGAAGCTCGGCCAATTGTACACTGGGCGAACATGACATCTGAGTTAATACATGTGATGCGTCGTCACTAACGGTTACGTGATTAGACGACAGTCCCTCAACCAACCATGTGGCCTATTACCTTCTATGAAATATGCTCTAATTCTATCAATAAGCATAAGCATTTGCTGCTATCAATTCCCCGTATATGTCATTGGTGTCCGCAATTTGGTAAATAAATTTCAGAACGCAACGGTGGCGAGAAGTTATAGCACAGCGGTTTAGGGGCACGCTGTACATCGTTCAACGTAGGTGCTCCAGCAGTTGATCTCACCTGCACTGTCGTACTCATCGAACCGTGTCCTCCACAGTAAACTGATCTTTACATTCGGCATACACCGGGGTCGTTATGTATGTTCTTCTTGGAGGTGCATTGTTTCCTCTTAGTCGAAAGTTTACTGGTTTGCTGAGCATGTTACAATTCCGGGTCTTGGCTTCGCGGGTCCTCACTGTGATGTAGGGGCTTGATATTTTTGTCTAAAAAAGGTAAAGATAAAGATGAGCAGTTACCGGGATTTCTAGCTCCCTAATAAACAAATTGACCATTTCTGATAGGTTCTTTTAGCATGTTCTCCCTATGGATCAACGATGTTAATGCTTCCACTTCTTCCCACAAACGGTAGCCGAAACAATTTTCAGAAAATTCGTAGCAATAGTGGGTGGAACATACGCAATTGCACATAAAACAATTGCGACTGGGTTCACAGCTTACAGTGTGTGTGGGATAGAAAGATTGAATGCATTCCGAAATTCCTGAGGTATTGATAATTGTCACCACACAAAAGGCGAGCTGTGTTTGATCAGCTATACGAAACCTTCTCAATGTTCACTGCCAGATTAAATTCATTGATCCCAGATTTTCATCTTTTTCGGAGTAGCGACAGGTCACTGGCACAAAAAGCACCACTCAGCGAACGTTAAAAAAATCCCGTTGCAAGAATTTCAAAAATAAAGCTACCAATGGTTTCATACCAGATAGGAGCTCGGGCAGACGATCAGTTATTTTACATTCAAATCTGCCATTTTTTGAAATAAGCGAGAACCGAAGCATTTGTCCCCATAAGCAAGATAATGTCATCGATCAGCCAAGGCTATTTCTGTGAACGGCGGATGTGAGTCAATAAGTTTTGGCCTGATGCTCCTCTTATAGTGCGGAAAGTTCCCTGTTAACCAACTGTCAGTGGTTGTATAGTAGTATTGAACTGTATTTTACTCTTACGGATGAAGTAAAATGCACAGGGAAATCGAAGAGAATCCTGCTGAGGCGCAGTATTTCATACGAGCTGTCGCGGGGGCGATTAGGAGTGTACCATTTCTTTTATTTCTGGGTTGCGATGTCTCAGTTCACGATTTGTTTTTCGTGGAACCTTCTTCTGCGATAATCAAATACCGTTTAGTCTGACACAAAACAGGACAATTGGAAATTATCTTGAATCGCGCAAGCAAATCTGCAGACACCGGGGTCTGTTTACTGATGTTCGAATTTATTTATTTACTTATGAGAACTCAGGATACTTACCGCCGGTCTAGTATTTCCTGGTTCGATTCCCGTTCGAAAGACGCAAAAACAGTACACACTGCTGTGGAGTTCCAACAGGGGTGAAACAGCTGTTCACTGCTCTGTGATGGGTACCGCAACATTCCATCGCATCTGGAAAAACTAGTTAAAAACATTCCTTTTCAGTGGATATGGAGACATCTGGGGTAAAATGGGGACAAATCAGAACGAGATCGCACAACTGCGAAATGATTTATGCATGTTATGGATGTGTGAATGAGGGAGTGAATGAACGACAGGTATTGGACTGCTAATACGCGACCGAGGAAAGAACATAGAAATTATAATATTCTTACAAACTGCTATTGTGCGCATCAGGAATTCGGTATGGAGACCGATTACACTCACCTAGGTCATTGGTGGAACTGGGGAATCAGCCTCTTTGGGTATCCTTTGTTTGACTGTATGGGTAAGACTCTAACCCTTTTGCACATTCACTGTGATTAGACTCGTTCTGACGCGTGAGACCATCTGCTACTATTGTCCTCATCAAGTTCGAGTAAAATCGGTTAAATTACTGTTCTCTACTGCGGTCAGCGAGAGGCCTCTCCTTTCGACCCACGTAGTTTGTTCCACAGAAGCACCGGGATGAGCTTATTGGGGGGGGGGGGGTAAAATTAAACGGTTTCCCTCCAGTGAGATCTCGTTGAGTAATTCATCCAACGCAAATATTACAATGTTTGAATTTGAAATCTGCACCTTTGCGGACCATCGTTTTGAAACTGTGTTCGTTTCCGCGATTTTGTCTCTGAACCTCTAGAACAATACACCGTTCTTGTTATTGTTTTTCTTTGCGTTATTAGTCTAATGTAACCACATTTCTTCTATGCGACGTTTCTACTTAGTAATGGGTTAAGAATCCCAGATCAATTACGACCAACAACTGGTCTTCACATCCTTCAATAGATTTGATGAGTTACTCAAGATGCCTCAATTCAAGCTGTTTCCCAACGCAACCAAAGTAGCAACTCATTTTCAGTTTGTCCGTGGATTCGCACAGCTGTTCAGACACGAAAAGATGGAAACCGTTGTACTTTGTTTGTTCCCAGTATAACATGCATCGTGTAACCAAAGGATTATTCCACATGACAATTGAACGTTTTTCTTCGCTGTTCTCTAAAATCCATAGACATGATCTGACCTCATGGTAACAGTCACAGTGGTGATAGTGCACCCCAAAGTTTGTTCTCATAGCAGAGCCATAGTATAAAGGGAAGTTCCAATTTCAAAGTGTTTGTTTGAGGGCGTTCGATTTGTAATCGGAGCAGTTCAAAACGTGGAACAGGAGATAAGGAAGGAGTAAGAGTCCCGAACAGGTCACGATCATATTCGGTTTCGGGAACAATAAAAGGTAAATTATTTTCTGGTTTTGACCTTTTCATCCGTACTAATGAAATACCGCTGCAATGAGTGTATTCCCTTCTGGTAGAATCAGAAAACATAGGCTGTGTAAAAAAACGTGCTAGAAATTTTCCAATCGACTGAATTCGGAAAACCTATATGATGAGAATAATTCACAACACTGGAGTACTTGTACAAGTTTTCAAGAGCGATAACCGTTTCCTCATCTGTTAAGAGTCTGATAAGCTGTACTGTCTGATGAATTACTCCGCTTCCCCATATAAATCATCATCAAATTATTGGTTTGATTAACAGTTTGACAGCTAATTTAATAGTCTGCGTCATGTAACTAATGCGTCAGTCGAAATGTGTACTGTGCCGGTCAATACGGAACATCTAACTTGATCGGTACTCACTAACTAATTTGTACTTATCCCACTTCCCACCTATTAGTAAATAGCTGATTGAAGATATGTATTATTTAATAACCATCCCAATGAAAATTGAGCTCTGTTATGAACCGGAACAAGCGATTACGCAAGTCGCGCATAGATACCCACCCCCGCATGTATAAAACGGTCATGAAGGTCTTTGGAGATACCCTCCTCCTTCATACGTAAAAAACGAACAGGTCTGTCTGTGTGTCTATCTCCTATTCGCTTCTATCCAAACGACCGGGCAAGGATCGATTCATAAAACCCAGTGCACTTGTGCGTCCAGCCTCTCGATAGCTCCCGGTCGATGTTGATGTGGGAACAATAACGATGTCCACATAAAACCAGACTTCGGTTCTGTTGCCGTCTTGCAATTCGATGCGCTCGTCATACATAGCACGCACACACTCGTCCCCTATCGAACCACAGTTACGTAGGTTGTTACAACTGCCTCCCCCAGTTCTGTTACCGGTCAATCAATACGGTGCCCATTTTCGAACTGGAACATAGAGCCAACCACACGTACGAACACGTATGTGCAGTTGGGTGAGTGCGTGCGTGCGAACTGGAGCAAGCTGGCGCACAGTGCTAACTGACCTGAGGAGACGCAGTGTGTGTATGCTTGTTTTTCAGTTGTTGTTTTTCCACGCAACAGTGTGTGCCGCCGGCTACAGGGTAATTCCGGATACACACGCACTGTCTGGGCACATGCCCGTTCCGGCTGTGATCCCACCGATGGGGTGCGAATTCGATGATTGTACACGATTCACAGGTCTCTGATCATTCTCAGCTCTGACCAAGCGCAATGCATGGTGTTAATACTTTGACCGTCCCATATTAACCAGCTCACATGAGGTTCGATCAATCGCATGCCCACATACACAGCAGATGCACTTACTTTTCATTCTTATATATGTATGTTTGTATGTGTGTGTGTACATGTATTTCAGTGAACACACAGACAGACCTATTGCGTGCTTGTGCCCGCTGAACGCGCGTGTCCATCGCCCGACTGAGGATCGAAAGCGCGGGCGTGCGTAAGCGTGCACACACGCGTGGCCTGGACCATGGCAACCGTCCGCAGGCTGATTCCATGACCGGCACTCACAAAATTCGCAGTGGGGCTTGGGTTTGGTGGCCGGATGTGTCAGCGGTGAACTGTACCGATTCCGTTACAGTTACGTGGAGGTTAGTTAGTCACTTTCTCTCGGGTCGTGCGTCAATCATGGACAAAAATCCACATGTGGACACCTTTCACAGCCCCGGTTATCCTTGCATGCTTATCCCATTCAATATGACAAGCATAGAGATAACCGGTCCTCAAAAAACCTAATGCATTTTCTTTTTGTTGTTTTATCCTATTTTAGAGAAAAACAAAATCGGAATCTATATAGTTCACATTGATTTCGACCAAGCTGTGATCCACTTGGTCCGGTTTTGTTCCTTTCGCATTCGTGACCCATGTCCTCTTCGTCCTCTTCCACCACCGGGAGCGGATTGTTCCGACGTTCGTCCGCGCCACAAGCCCACCCCAGGCATGCACCACACCAAGACACACCGGCCCCGGAGGATAGTTCAATCAGTAAAAGTGGCGGGAACACACCGCCGCACCCAATTTCGTCGATGGGCATGAAAGCGAAAAAGGAGTGTTTTGTATTTGAACCGCAACAATGGCGCCGTACTGTATGCAAAAATTGTTTCCGTAGTGAACCTGAGCACAAACAGTCAGCGAACACAAAAGACGATGCCACCGGTGGACCAGTTGTTGTGCTGCGTCGAACAGAAAATGTGGTCCAAACGCCCGATCCCACCACGACTGTTCCGGGTCAGGGTGATAACGCATCTGGGGATATCAAATCACAGGAAGTGAAAACAGAACGGGAGATTGGAAAGAATACTACCAACTCAACAAATGCTGCAAGAGCTGCCGCACGGAAAACCGCTTCCACGCAGGGGTAAGTTGATATGTGCTTGCCATATACCGTGTAAATAGTGCTTCCATAATCTGACCTTGTGTTTTCATCAGTTTTCTCCCACAAGGGACACAATACACTTTTTCTAACCGTTAACTTCCCTTTCTCGGGAAGACCATTCTGGGGCTTTCAGGGAGTAAATTCATCACTATTCTTTTATCCACTGTACTTGAATTATCTTCCATTCATCCGAACGTTACGCCCTCCGCATATACTGGAGATGTCAGAGTTTGCTGTCCCCGTCCTCACCAGTCCTGATTTCTTTCTTGCAACTCCAAAAGTGCTTGAACGAAAATCCTAGTTTGTCTATACTTCGGCTATTCATGCTCGAAGTTAGCTGTTCTCGGAGCAATGTTTGCGAACGAGTCAAAAACCCGGAGATAAATGCTTAGATGAGCGCGGTACGATCCCCAAAAACAGCTTGCAAATGTGTCTTGCACTCTGGCCAAAATTAAATGGTCTGATCAACTATTTTCACACTTTTCAAGTTGGTAATGTGCTTCCGTTCTGTTTGTGAGATCCCAATTTCGATCCACGTTTGTGTGCATGGTTTCGCAATGCTGATGAAACGGAGCTAGTTGGAGACAGTGGTGCGATGCGTCCTAGCTTTTCGGATCACGTTTCTTTTGCTCCGTTAGCGAGGAAATTTGTCTTGAAGTTTAATGAATGTGCTGAAGTATCTTTGAGTGACAAAACAGGATCCCGTCAACAGATCCTTGGGCTCACATTACCTATGGAGACCCTTCCCACCTTCATAAAATATACAGTCAAAATTGAAAAAAAAGTAGAAAAATAATAGAAATGATCTCCTTTGCAAAACAATCTCAACTAGTGAACTCACGAGAGGAAATCTTTATGCGCAAAGTACAGCTTCTAAAACTGTGGGTTCACAATCACAGCATTTCATAACTGAATCTGCGAGGCAGCCAGGAGTGATTTTGCCACCTTACTCTTCTTAGTTCACATATGTTAAGCATATTTAGATTAAGGTTCCCAGACTACCTCTTTATGAGCTTTCCGACTTGAGAAGGTGGGGATTTCCTGAATTGCAATTTTTAAATTTATGACAGCTTTGCATTTGCTGTACTGTTCATCCACCTTCCCTCTCCCAGTTTCAGAGAGAAGGAGACGAGATCCATCGAAATTCTTTTCGTGGGTGTGGAAATGTCAAGATTGTTAGTTGGTTTTGTTGTTTACAAGGATAACTGATATGCGTGATCGGTTCACCATATCAACTTTAACTAGTGTGTGTGGCATACCTTTGTTTGTTCCAAATTTAGGCTATTCCATGCTCGTGAGATTACTTGCTGACCGGGATCCCAACTTGTCTTGACGGTGTTTTCATGAATCGAAAACTTATTACGAGGGACTTCATCAATCATCTATCGCTTTATTGTTCTTTTGCTGCGTACGTTTGTTGTACACTTTATATTACTGTTTTTGTTTGACTCATATGCTGCTTGACTGTAACTGGTTGAAAACACTCCAAGCCTATTTTAAGTCAACTGAGTTTGGAGTGAAGTTAACTGAATCAAACGCATTCCATCACTGTGGCACACATTTCTGTTTCATGATTAGTGTGTATTGGTTAGTTAAAGATTATATCTGATAATGTATATTATTCTCCAGAATGTGTATTCCCACTGAGGTTCCCACCTCATAGCTCGACGCCCACATTAAAACGAAACGTCAACTGACAATCCATTTGCAAGAAAGGCTACAGCTTGTGTCGACGAGAACAATTTATGCAATACGGTGCACTCAATCTTTGTTCATGTTGTGATTTTTTCAACTGACCGGCAGTTCAAATATGTTTAACACCTAAAAATATTTCAGTGTTTCGTAATCCGTGGGTATGCTTGGCCCCGGAATGATATGATGCTTAGGAGAATACCATTGGATGTGGTGAATCACCGGATGTTGTACCCTCATCCCACTAAATTTTCCCTATTATACCCAACTCAATATAGATTTTCTCATCATTATATATTAATCACACTAGGACAACTCGTGTACCTCTTAAAGGCGTTCTAGTTGAAGATCTAGAACCTGAAATTAACTGTGGATATCGAAAATAAAATGAACCATCCTCCATTTATTCAAAAAGTTGGCTACATGATGAAAAATACGTACACCCAAGTCTATATGTGTTTGTAGAATGTCTCCTGCCACCTGGGCCTCGAGGTCTCAGTTCTCTTCTCTCTCAACCCGAGTTTAGACGCACCGCGGATGAAGCACGCCAAGGCGGGACGCATTCGGAATCGCGACGCGCCGGTGCTCAGAATGCTGGTGCCAACGGATCGGGCGCCGCTGTGCATTCCTCTGCGTCCAGTATCGATGCACGATACATTGAAGAATTGGAGAACGATTTCTTTGCCCTGGAAGACAAACACGAAGCTGTCGTGCGAGAACGAAATGAGCTGACTACAGAACTGGAAGCAAAAGTACGTTCCGTCACGGAACTACAAACCACACTGGAACAGTACAAAGAGAAAGTTTCCTTCCTCGAACGACGGTGTCTGCATCTGGAAGAGGAAGTCAAAGGTTATCGGTAGGTTTTATCCATACCGGTGCTTTAGTGATTTATCCATTTACTTTTTGGTGCTGAAAGGAGTTTAAACATGTTGCAATATCTAGTTACTTCCAAGTGATTTTTCCGTTTGTCGGGGTAGGTCAGATCTGTCAGGACTCTTGGAGGTTCAGTACACTTTGATTTTGTCCTAAATAATGCTTGTGCTAAGCACAACGTGGAGGACAACAGACTGATGGTGACCACTGTATTTGATGATGGACCCGATTTGTGCATGTAACGGTGCTCTCCGCTAACATTTGTTGCAGTATATGTAGTATGTGGCCAGGTGAAAACGCAAAAAATCCTCAGACATTGATTCTGATCGTCCGCGACGGCTTTTCATTCATGGAAACAGTGCCGGCAAAACCACGGTTAACAACGAAATCAGCTTTCATTTCAGCTAATAGTGCACAGCTCCGTCAACAGTACGTTTCAGGTTCACGAAAAATGCGTTTCTCAGTGTTGCTTTGCATTGAAACGTTTAAGAAACGTTGGAGAGTACATAGCTGATTGTGAGTTAAGTAATGGGTATTCTTTTATCCGTAAATTCTTCTCATTGATCCAGTTGCTCCCCTATCTCTGCCATTATTTACCCCGATGGTAAACTATGACCAATCATCGCTCCATTCCCGCCGAAATAAAAGTCGCCACTCTCGGTTAAGATTCTGAAATATACACAAACGGACACAAATACCGCACGTATACAGCTTAAAGAGCTTCCCACCACTTTAAAATCTCCAAAACTTGACGGTACTCGTTCATTATAAACAAGCCAAATATTGATCACTAAACAGTTTTATTCGTTTTGCTGGAGCCAGTTGAGTTTTCTGGTCTCAGAACTTATGATTTTAGGTATTCCTCCTAACTAGCCAGGGGCCGGATGCTCTAAAGTCCATTCTCTGTTTCTTGAGAATTTTTAATTGAGAAGAAGAAAATCTACCGGAGATCGCATGAATATTATTTAATAGANTATTAAACGTTCATATAACCGACGACTTAAAAAAAGTGAATGAATATATTACAATTGTAGAACTGATTGAAGTTGGTGGTAGAAAGCATATTCATCGGGGAAGCAAGACTATCGGAATCGCATTTCCTGTGTGTTTTCTTCCTTCAGTCAACCAAATCAAACAAGGAATCGCTTTATCCATGTGTTAGGGTAGATATTCAGCGACACAATCACAAAAATTAACCAAATAAAGGGAAATATAATACGGCAATAGAAAACATTTACGACAACACCATCAGCAACAGAAAACCGGTGGCATACGATATTGCTTATCATCAATTTATAGTAGCATTTTGCGCAGCTATTTTATAAAGAGTTCATAGTTTGAGAAATCTGGTGAGATACGGAACAACGGAACACCTGTAAGTCTCAGTGCATGCCTTTATAAATTTATAACTGGCGCGAGTGAATGGATAAGAAAGGCACTGAATAAGATCAGGATAAACGGGATAGGAGCAATCAAATAAAATCTCCCAGGACAATGTTTTACAGCATTGGAAGTGCTGTGCTACCACATACTGCAACGGACATTACCGGGGTATATGACAACACATCGTAAGGAACTTGAGGAATCGGAAAATGATTTCTTGGTCCTTGAAAAAACTCAAAGAAAAGAACAGGGACTCACAAAGTCAATAAAGTAAAATGTAAGCAAAAGCAACATACCTTATGAGATGAGCAGGGAAATATTCAAAAAATAAAACGTAAACTTTCTTACCCTCCGGAACACGTTATTGGCATGGTTAGATTAGGTAGGATTACGGCTGAAAATAACACCAAGATATCTGACAGATGATTATCGATCCATCTAGTCATTTTAGATGAATGAAGGGGATTATCATTTGATAGTTTCGATCTTTCAAAAGAGATAAAGTTACGTCATTAAATCCCAAGGGTTCATACAGGGGTTCCTTCGATAAGACCACTTCATAATTTTTGTCAGGTCATTTTGTAGAATAGTCTGAGGTTGTGAGTTGCTGCAGGATAATCGTTCGCATACTTACCAAGAAAAGAAGAATTGCTCACAGGCGTAACATAAATGTGCTGTGAAGTGAATATGTGCATCCGACAATGTGAGCAGATTCAGAGATAAATTTGCTAAGTTGCGAGTAAATGCAGGTGAGTTGGGTTTGATAGTATACTAGCAGAAAGTTTCGGACAAGCAATAAAGTGCTATGAAATGATAAGCTGTACAATAAGTTCACCAGATGTTCCCTTGTATCGACATAGCATCGAACGGATACAAGTTTGAGTTTTAATTCTTTGTAAAGAATACCGGGAAGATGACTGAGAATGCATAAAGTCAGTGGGGAAGGATACAGGAGAATAAAAAGCATTCTATTAAGTGTGTTGGGATAGATAACATTTTCAAATGGATTTCAGTAAAAGGTAAGTTGCCTCATTTAGTGAAATGTGTCGGTGACATGAAGAGACCAAGAAAGATCACGGAAATTGCTGACTCCGAGATGCTTAACGGGGCACGATCTGGAAATTTGTCCAATTAAAAGGAAACATAATCAGTGAGTCGCATTTAACTCACATTGAACTCGTAGTCAGTTCAAACCAATAAATAATCAGTAAGAGACATCAGGGTATCGAGGGTTGATCTGGAGCTTTGATGGACAAATTGAATGGGATCAGATGCTTCGGGCGAAGCTTAACCATTCCACCTTGTGGTACTGATATGATAGAAGCTGTCTGGAATACAATGCTGAGTAAAGCTCAGTTTCAACAGGTTTTCAAAAACAAGGGATAGGGGTACGGTACGGTCTGTGAGTGCTACTGATGGTAGTCCATCTAGTTGAATGCTGATTCATGAAATTGTTGAAAACGACCGTTTGCTCCGTAATGAAATTTGCA